TACATGTTGCACAATATCTATTTTTTAACTGATTAAAAAAGTTGTGGAAAAATGTGATTCTGTTGATATTATTATTACCAGTCTATGCTTGACATAAGACTATATGTGGTACAATATTTTTTAAGACATTCAGATAGTCTATTCTTAAAAGTAAAATAAATAAATTGGTTGGATATTAAATGGCTTAGTACTTGACCTATACATGAGAACTATCACAATTTGTCCTATAACATGAAGGATGTAGTATTCATGTTAATATTTACCCATTCACTGCAGACACACACACACACGCGCACACATGCACACCCCCACACACATACACAAGCACAATCCAACTGCACTTGGACCTCTGAGGCACTGGCAGTTGTCAGGTTCCATTATATTCCACTGCATATCAAGGGAAAAACACTGTCTGTTCTCCGCATCTTCCTGTCAGACATCCTCCGAACTAATATACAGTATGCACATGGCAGGAGCTTACGCATGAGGAAAGTCCAAGTCCTGTTTAATCTTTGCCATAATGTTCTTCACCAAATTATAAAATAATAACAAGAAAAAAAACATAGAAAAAGAAACAGAACACATCTCAGACAGACTTGATTTATGCACCAATAATCTAAAAGATGCAGCAAGGAATACCAACATGAATCTTTTATTTTCCAGCCCAGAGAGAAGACATAAACCAAAGTCTACATTTATTGCAGTCACTTTTTGTTTTAGAATGAATATTACTATATGGACCTTCACCACTGAATGCTTTCCATTGAAAATTTACCTCTAATTCCTCAAAAATATCAGGGCCTCAAGTATCAAACATACTAAAAAAAAAAAAAATGAGGGCCATTGCATTTGATACATTTTCATAAAATGTACTGGCACCCCTTGAAGATGTCCTTTATTGTTGTCTATTAAGATGGCAGTAGAAAAAATGAAATCACACTTCTCTCATTATAACTAAAGCAAAGTTAAGTATTTACCCTATTTCAGTCATCAGTGTGATTTTCATGAGGAATGGTGCAAGCTTGAAGCATCTACAGCAACCAAATTTAGTTCCTGTTTCTCCACTGCTTTTGAAGAGAGGGGCTCAGTATTCATGCCAACTGAGATGGATGTTGCCAAGACTCCCCTGGTATACTGGTGCTAAAAAGGCAACCAGTTTTGTCCGTTTTACAGGTCCATCATTTCCTCCTCCACAGTCTTTCCACTGGTTTCAACATACCTCTCTTGCACTCCAAGAGTACTAGAGGGTCAATTGTTAGGGAAAACAACAAAATAAGACAATTTAAAATGTGTATGGTAAGATCCAGGTTACATTTAGAATAATCAACTGTAAGTTATTAGACACCTCAAAGTATTCAGTTTTCCAGCCACGTCCCGTAAATGTTAAAGTTTGATTTTAAACCAGATGAGTCACAGTGAGTCACCACAATGATTAGGAAAGGATACGAGTCAAACTGGAAGTCTGCCCCCACAGCAGCTGACATCATGGCCTGCAGATTCCTCTCCTCCAGGTCTCCAAAGCAGTAGCCATTAGCCTTGTCCACTGCTCGTAAGACCTGAATCATGCTCTCTTTGTCCTGGAAACAGAAAATAGAAGCATTTATCGAGGAGTTTTTTTCCTGTAGAAATTCACTGAAACTACCCACTGACAAAATATTTGCAGAGAAAACTCACTGAATCGTTGCTACTGTGCTGTTTGAAGACAACTGTGTTTCTGGTTTCTGACTAATCAGTAGACAACACATAAAGTACGTATATAAGGTATATAGCAGTAATCCTATCACAAGTCTGTGTAATATCTGATGTGTCTCATATGTCCCAATTCTCTTTCCCTATTTTTTCTCTAACTGCCTGAGCTGCGGCATGAAGGCACCTTCCTGAAAAAGATTTTGAAACCTTCTTGGAAATGTGGCAATGCAGCCTTTCCTGCCTTGTTCTCTGTTAATCGAGGCTTGATACTCTGAGATAAACACACTATAAACTATGCATGTATATACATGCATATAAAGCCATAAAACCCCAAACTTCACTTGATTCCAACTCAGAGATTAGCAACATGTCTTTCTCAAGGTCAAAAATGTTTTTCAGAATTTTAAATTTGCTGTGTTAAGTTCCATTGGTAACCAAGGTAACTAGTTTCTTAGGCTACTAGGCTTCTTAACTAAGAGGATGTAGAAAACCTATAAATGCATGAAGGCTGCATTTTCCAAGTGCCAACGTGCCATTTGTATACATTACTAGTCCCTTATGCAGTGATGGCACCATGGTCTAGACTCCTGCATCTTGACACACACAGGATGAAATCAGTCTCCATAAAGAAGTAATGTCAGGGAACGAATACAATGTGCAGACAGCCAACTGCCTTTTACCAGTCCAATCCATCTGCACAAAATTGATCTGGTCTTCAATATGAAATGCTAAAAGCGACTCATGATTATCATCACCAACCTTTCAGAAAGATTTGGCTTGCTTTTAGTAGAAAACATTAAATTTGGGGAAGAAAAACTATTTCTCTGAAGAAGCTTTTACAATCTTTCACAGGTATTCTGTGCTACACGCAGAAACTGAGCCTTCAAAGCCTAATTTCTGTGTATGACAGAGCAATATTTGATAAAGTTGGTCAGGCTACATTAGGGCTGTGACTTCTGGATTTAGTTCAAAGCAGACATTAAACTTGGTAGTCACTGAGCAGTAACCTATTTTAGTGAGCTAGAGCCATGCTTTTCTTTCTCATCACACAATCACAAAGTAGCTGCAGCGCTGCACACAAACTAAGCTGCTAGAGAAAATATGTTACATTATATACCTCTAATAACTACAGGACTACATGAATTACATTTCAAATGATGTTTTATTAAATTAAATTCAGAATGTTGATAACTGCTTCTATACCAGCCTGAGCCACCCAAGCCCTTTTTTTGAATCAGGAAATCCCCAGAGATTCAACTCAATTAATTAATCTACTTAATTAACTTAATGTACTCAACCATATAGTAATTCTGCAGATTTATAGCAATATTAGGTCCTATTGGCTAGAATGTACCACCAGTATTATGAAATGTTTTGAGCCTGAGTCAATGTGGGGTTTTTGGGGTTTTTTTTTTTTGCAATACACAAGAAAGAGCAGTCATACCTGTACATTGAGAGGCACAAAGGAGACGAGGCCGTAATCTTGTATGACCTCTGCCAACTTTTCATTTAGATGGTGGAATTTTTTAAAGAAAGGATCTGCAGCCAGGTGATCAAGAAGATAGGTCAGATCCATAACCTCTGTGTAGAAGTCAAGGTTGAAGGCTGTACATGAATACAGATGAGAAAAACAAAATGTTACCATGGTAGGTAATATTATCTGTTAGTCAATTAAGTAGTAAATCAATCAATTACTAAATAAGTTGTGAAATTATTGGTGCATGCCTGAAAAAAATACAAGAATCCTCTGTCTGTATATGTAATATTTGTTTTGGAAAGCCAATAGCCCTCACCCAGTTTGCCATACTGCTCAATCAAGTCCATCTTGGAGAGGATGTTGACGTGGGGCAGCTCCACGTGCAACATGGTGGACAGGGAGGTACACAGCACAGAGATGAACTTGGCTGGGTCAGCACAGTAATGAGAGTCCACAAGGTGCACTGCTGTTAGCTAAAGAAGCAAGAAAGTGGGGGAGAACAACACTCATAAACCGTATCTAAAGGGGAAATCACTTTCATATTTATTGCATGCATAATGACTATATGGATAAAGTATTGGTTTAAGGCTCAGGGGAAATGAGATCATTCCCATCCCTGAATGCATTAGAAGCTCACCCTGAAATTCCACTTGGCCAACTGTGAGAATATATTCTTTACTGAATTTTGGTGGGTGTAGAGCTCCACCTGTCCAGGACAGTCAAACAAGAAGTAACAGTCACTGTGCTGTTTCAGCTTGTTCTGTAACCAGTCCAGATTTGCTTCAACATACTCCATACAGTAGAGGAGCCCGCCGTTGGGTCCAAGCTTCAAGCCTTCCATGACATCGTCCAGAGTGACCAGCTCTGAGATATTTATATCACAGGAATATGGTAGTCCTTCGTTTGCAGGGTCCATGTTCACCACAACCACCTTCCGTCCCAGGTGAGTCAGGAACTCCTGCATTCCTTGGCAGTAAGTGGTTTTACCCGAACCTGGGGGTCCAATGACCACCTGGCCGAAACGTAGAGGGGGGGTTGCTCCTGTCTGGCTGGACATGGTTTCAGTGCCAAGGAGACTGGGGGGCTGCAGAGGTTCACATTAGATGGGACCAGGATGTGAGAGGAGCCACATGTGCTGTCCTGAGCAGGATATCAGCAGCTAATAGAGTCACCCCAGTCAGTGTCAGTGGCTCGAGGCAATTTGAGCCTTTATTTCGTACTCACAATTGCTATTATATTAAACTCAAGTAGAGTTAATAAAGTAAATAAACCCCAACGATCAATAACGAAATGTTACGCGCTCAGGAAAGTTAACTTTAATGAAGTGAGCTGGCTAACGTTATCTAGTTAGTCTTAGTTAAAGTTTGTGTGCAACATAAACGGGCTTCAACAAACGCTAGCGACAATTTAGTTACATTGTTATTGACTTCAATTTCTAAATTAAACAAATACGGATAAATAATTACCATGTACCGCCGTTATGTTTGCATGCGTACAATGGTCGATAGCTAAAATGCTAATCTACTCTGAAACACATCCGGGTTACCGAAGTGCCAAAATAAAAGCAGTGTTTTTCATTTAATATGGAGTTCTACGCGAATTTAAGATTTATGTCACAGAACTTCATATATTATTTCAGCCTGGTTCTTATGTTACATACTTAATACAGACAGCCCATACGATTCCATACTAATATGAGGTATTAACAAAGGAAAACAAGTTTCTGTGTGACGGTGAGTCAGCAATCTGACTTCACCTTACATTAACTAAGCATATAAAAAGTAAAGAGTTCAACTCAGCACAATTGGAATGAATGGTTTGAAATATGTTTTAATATCAAAGTCTGACAAATAAGAAGTTAAGAAAATATATATACATATATATGCAAAAGAATTATTTGTTTAAAGTCATCTCCGTGGTCCAATGCTGCCACCTGGCTGCCAGCCTCTGTACTTCATACTGGTGTTTGGTTGGCGTCTCAGCAAGGTGTCACCTCCATCTATATCTTTGGGTTTATCATATACTGTAGTTATATGGAAATCTGTTTTGGCCTTTTTCGCAGGATGCAAGACCAGTTTCCTTCCATGATAACTGCAAAGAGAGAAATTTACAATAGCATAAAGAAAACAATGTATAACAAACAAAACAAACAACATGATAAACATGCAAATATGTTTGGTCAATTCTGTTTTCATATTTATACTCACCCAAACCCCCTTTTGCAGTTAGGATGTTGCCCCTCATTCTCCAAGGCTTCAGGGATTCCAATTTGACTGCTCCCCAACCCTTCGCCATCCCTCCACCCTTGCTTCTCCATCACACGACGGCCAACACCCTACCCAAGGGAAATATATTCATTTAATAGCTTGGGGAGAATGTAGGAGACATTTTGAGAAGAAATTATAGGTAGTGGCCACCTCCTTACCTTAGTGAACCTCTCAAAGCTGCCAATAGATTGACTGGATCCAGATCCATTTTCATGACCCTCCCTCAGCCTCTTTTCATACCGCATTCGGACGTAGTCACGGGCATCCATGTCACCTCCATCTGTGAGAGGAAAAGATAGGTTAAAGAAAATCTGACTCTGCAGGGATAATTTAGTTTGGTTCCATTTGTCAGTCGAGGTAAAAGGAAATGTACAACAAACTTTTGATACCTTTATCATAGTAAACGCTCATGTCAACATCCCAGTCGTCCGCTGTTTGTTCATCAAAATCTAAAACAAAGGACAAAGTGACATAAATGTAATCAATATTTCAGCAAACAAATACACTAAATTAAAAAAAAATCCAATTGGAATTTAAATCTATTTAGATCATAACAAATTTTAAAATCAGCCATGAGGTAAGGCTGGGAAATATATGAATCTTTCTAAATTGTATGATTAATGTATTTTTTGCATACCTCCTTCTTCCTCCTGCCAGTACTGGGCGTCAGTGTAAAACACCAGGCCTGAGCCGCCCTTTTCCCACTTCAACTCTATCTCCTCTTCATACAGCCTCTCTTTGCTTCGTTCCTGGCTCGTTACATCATCGTGTAAAGCCTCGTGGCGCTCCCACTCCTCACACCAGTCATCGTCCTGCAACCAACAAGGTGAATAACTGGCAAACTTCAGTGAAGGGATGATGATGATGACATTCAGCCAGCACTCTAACACAGCCTACGGATACTAATAACAACAACAATGCATATATAAAGTATTTGGTACACTGACAGGTATTAACAGATATAAACTTATACCCACATCATCTGCATTTGACTGTGCGTCCTCGTCCTCCTCTTTCTGCCGCTCATCAGTCTCTGTTGTTTCTGTGCTATCAGCCAGCTGCTTTGAACCAGAGGGTGGAGCAGCCAAAATGCCTGGTCCTGATATTTCATGTCCAGCAGCTGTTAATACAGTCTCCTCTGTGGCTGGAAGTGTCCAAGTGTCTTGATACTGGAAAGGTACGTTGCCGTAACGGCGGTTGGAGCTGGTCTTGGGGAAAGTGAGGCCCAACTTCCGGATGAGGCGAGGAGGCAGTCGGCAGGACTGGATGAGCTGGAGGAACACTTTCACTGGTGTGCCCACATTCCCATTCTGCATCAGAGCGGGTGGATTCAGCTCGGATAAGCTTTTGAGATCAGCCTCTGTGAAACGCTCTGTTAACGAAACACGGTGCCGCTGCTCATACTTTGTTTTATAAGGGAAGGATCCATCATCTGAAAGAATTGAAAAAAGTTTAGATGTACATACAGTGATAACAATTTGTGTCCCAATTAAAAAAGACAAAAGACAACAAATTTCCAATAACAGCAAACAAATGAGCAACATTTATTTAAAGACCCCATGACATATTGCATCATTCCTACACTCTTTAACTTAGAGGTTTCCATTTAGATAAAAGTAATGCTTTAAAAGATAGTATATGAATTAAAGTTTATTGATTGAAAAAAAACCCAACATTATCATTTGAAAATAAACATCAAGCATTTAGTGATTATAACTTCACAGATACCAAAGGTGCAGGGAAAAATAACTAAGTGGGCAGTTTTAAGACTATAATGTGAGCTCTCATAACTTGCGATAGGCATCTGTTATTATTGTTGAAGGTCTTAAAAAGAACGGATATAATGGTTCAAATCAAAGCAGCAAATGCCTGTACATCCTGACTGTTAGTCCCTAAATGAGTCAAGCTCCCAATACATTTGAACTTACGATTCCCGTAATGCAACCAACCCCGAAACCCCACTTTATAATAGTTTTGTAGTTTGTAATGCAGGCTTTATGTTAGAAACAAGAAGTCTCTAAGACCATAATGATATTGTCTTATTTAATTTCCCTGGGTTTGGCAAAGCTCCCTGTAGTCACAGTATTTGTGTAAAATCGGTGGAGTGGTCCTTTAATATGGCACCACAGCAGCAGGTGAACCCCGACAAAACGAGGAGTGATGTCCTCTCTCTTCCTACTCTTGTTAAGTCGACTAACAGTAACGTTTAAAACAGGCACAGTTTGAGAAGCACAAGTATAACATCTCACCGACCTTTGTCAGTTGTGACTTTGACTCTCTTGATAACACACCGCCTGGACAGCCAGGTCCCCTTCGAGTCAATCCAGTGATTCCCCGTGTACATCCTGAAGAACCTGTCAGCTTCTTTACCGTGAACTGAGACGATACAACAGCACGACCTCACCGCCTGCCTCTTCACCGAGCTGTTTTTTGTGACCTGGTCGGTCTCCGAAGAAAGGGAGCTGGACTCCTCGCTGTCCCCACACACTGTGTTTACCGGGCCCTCAGACTCTCTGAGAACCTCCGGCCGATGACGGTAGTGAAAACACTGAAACCCGCCGCTTTCTATGAACTGACTGAAATAGTTTCTCAGGTCCGCTGAGCGAAAGGCTACAGGGATGTTGCTAATTGCAAAATACACAGGAGTTAGCCCTTCAGAGTCCGCCATGTTTGTTTATCACCTGGACAGCATACGTCATCTGAACGACTTCAGAAAAGACGTCACATCCGCTTCCTAAGACGTTAAAAAAGATTAACACAATATTCTTTTTATTACATATTACATTAAATTTATTATATAGCATAATAATGTATGCTTTATCTATTATATATTTATTATATATTTATGTATAACAGATTTCTGTAAGACTACTGGCAATAAACATTTAACACACTATAATATTTTAAGCAGATATAAGCACATTTTTAAGTGTGTATTAAATATAGTATTTATAACTTTTCCTATGAAGACATATTTTGTTTTATTACACATGTGTTTTGCTATATTGTCAGCAGCCTCCATAGCCCACAGTAGCTGTTTTAGTTATTAACAAATATATAAATAAACACTTAAATCTGCTTATAATCTGCATCATAGTGTGTTGTAAACCATTTATTACATGTTTATAAGCTGCTATAAATGTTAAATAATGGGCACAGCGAACAGTTTGAGGTACATATGGCTATAAAGGTAAATAAACTAGAGGTTTTCACATTGAGCAGAGTTCAGTGTCTACATTTTTACACATTTATTGTAGCAGTCTTTTTCTTTATTTCATTCTTCTTCTTTTTTTTTTATTTCTGTGCTGTACTCATACATTTCAGAGCAAAACGAACAAAGTCAGGAAGTCAGTTCCAGACAGTGATGTAGGTTCATTGAGAGCAACTTATCCCACACAGTGTCACCATTGGCTTAAAGAGGCCACTGCAGTGGTGTAAGACCCAACCAAAGCCCTCTGACAAAGCAAATCAAACAAACCAAAAAAAACAGCAGATACCTTAGTAGAGGCACTTTTAAGAGAGATTCTCCTTCTTGGATGGCTTCATTTTACAAAAAATGAACATAAACTAGCAACAAACCACTCACCAAACAGAACATTGATAATCTGCTATTCTGCACCCTTGATAACATTCAAAATTAAAATGTTAAAAGGAAAAATGAAACCATGAGAATCAAATGACAGTTACAAGAACTTTACATATCTATTTTTGATTTGTGCAAAAAGGTAACAAGACAAGTAAAAGATGCTTTAATCAGTTCATTTTTTTAAAGTATAATATTCAAATCTGTGACCTCACTAGATGTCTTTCAGAGAGCCAACTAAGGTATATGTTCAGTCAGAGTTCATTGACCCAGAGGCTAACGTTTTATCCTTCACCTAAGCTTTTATCATTGTGTTTTGATAGTAATAGGCAGTAAAACTAGATCCAGGTGTCTGGACCCTGACATCATTTAAACACCATATTACGCACTTACTGTGCATTAGTCATGGCTGTGCTGGCTCACGGAAGCCCACGCTAATCCTCAAGAATGTCTTGATTTTACAGATACCATTATATTGGTAAGTCAGAAATACAATCTTACTCTAAGGTTTATAATATATCTAGATCAGTGCTTGTAAAGTACTGAATGATTAAAACTTTCTGATATGAAAATCATCCACCAAGAGCCCCGCTGTGCACAAGTAGTCACTTAGAGTCTCACAAATACAGTGTATTCAGAAAGTATTAGAACCCATTAATTTTTTTTCACATTTTGTTATGAGTGGCCTTCATAATTCTTAAATGGAAAAAAGTTTGGAACAACCTGCACTCTTCCTAGAGACAATCAGGGGAGAAGGGCCTTGAGGTGACTTACAATGTGACGGTCACTCTGGCTGAGCTCAGAGATCCTGTGAGGAGATGAGAGAAACCTCCAGAAGGAATAATGTGACACTTCGTCAAAAAAGGAAACTGTTATGAGTCATTAATTTGAAGATTTTGGCCTCTCCAACTTAATAAAATGAAGATAAAGTTTCACAGTTAAACTGTAGGGCTTGGTATTATTTGTTTTTATACCAGTGCCAGCACAACAATAGTTTGATATGAAGGAACATAAAATTTTTTTTTTATAAAACTTGTCTTTCTTTCAAGAAAAAAATTCGAATTTCTCAAATGCTTCAGTGTCTCTTAACACAAAGCACCCACATATGAACTTTGCCAAAATAAAATGCACTGTAAAAAATATAACTTAAAACAGGAAACATCTAATCAAAGGATAACTAAACAAGCAATTAATGCTAACTGTGTGTACTTTACTTTGACACACTTAACTACAGACACCTTTTGTTCAGAACCCCGCAAGCATAGAAGTTTAGCTCTATCTTAGTTTAGTATGTGTGTGCTTTTCCAGTATACTACATTCAATTAGTATTTACTCTAATTTCTCCAGGAAATGTTTTTTTGTCAATGATTAATGAATTTTGTGTGATTTCTGGATCTGGCTTACTGTACATGAACTTATGGTGCTGTCCTTGTAAATTAGTAAAATACATTACTTTTATAGTGAACCTGACAGAACTACATGTGAACTCCAACAAACTGAACTCCAGGATAATTCAATGATATTTTTCCCAGAGGATTGAAATGACCCCACAGTGTAGATACAACTGCCACCTTTGGGTCACTGAACCTCTGCTGTATGAGCAGTAGGTCAAGGTCAAGTGTCATGTTCCAGACTCAGTGTCCATCACACACACACATGAAATGGTCGTACTGACAGTTCAATGACCTGGGAAAACTTAAACTAGGGGAAACACAAAAGTCAATATTTGGGGGGAAAACTTACAAGAAAAGCAAACTCTGTTTCAGTGGATGAGGGATGTGCTGACACAGTTCGCTTTAAAATTATCCAATGATTATCTAGATAAATGAATATCACAGTGATAACTTTATAATGCTTTTACAGTCAACTACCTTCATAATATTTTTCAGTTTATATGTATTTTAAATATAATAATAGCAAAAAAAAAAAAAAAAAGGATAGTCTTCAGGTGTCAGCCATTACATCATGCTTCATCAGACCTGGACTTCCTTGATCTCAGAATGAAGCAGTTGTTCCACTTATAGAATGAAGGACATCTTATTTTTACTGTCTTTTTGGCGATAAGCGTCTGTCCTCCGTGTCGGTCTCTGCCTGCTCCTAACCTCTATAAACACGAGCCTTATCACAAGCATTTACAACTCTCAGCATGCCTCATGAAGCCTGAGGGCTGCTGAGTGCATTATAGGTCACTTTGCAGAAACTGCCGCATTCTCGAAGATAACGTAATGTGTTTTATCACGTATTTGAAGCTGGGGTCCATTTTGATTTCGCTCCTGTGAGTATGGACATGTCACGTCTCATATGAATAATCACTGTGTATCATAATGAGATCACCCCAGGAGAGATAATGAGGCTATGAAACATATTCAAAAGAATTCTTTGAAGGATTGAGTAAAAAGAATGATGGAGTAAAACAAACATTTGGTGACTGGTGCTGCCAGTTGTGTCTGGCATGTAATCTCTTTACTGCAGTCATTCATCTTATGACCTGACCTTGACTCCACTGCTCTGTAGTTCAGGTATTCCTCTGGCACTTGCATCCTGTGATGGTTTCAGACTTCTTGGCTTGTGCATCAGGTGTCCTGCCAAAAGTAAAGAGCATAAAATGTTTTTAAAAAACTGTATCAGCTGTCATTATATAATGTGATAAATATTTCAGTAGGTACATGTTGCTGAATGTTCAAACCAAAGGAGTGTGTTATTGAAAATGTGCTGTTTGTTTATTTGTGACAGTAATAAAGTCATTTGCTTATCAGTCTCAAACCTCTGTGCCAGGCACAAGGAAGATAACAAATTAGAGTAAACTCATTTAAATGACAAGGGGAACATGCATCACCTGTTAATCAACTGAAATTCCATGAATTGTTTTGTTCCATTGTAAAATAACCAAATATCTTACAAAGTCAGTCTGAGACACACCAAAGCTCTGTAACATCAAAAGACCCTGTTTTAAGTCACTATATTGACTGTGAAAGAAAGGCTCAGTCTTTTTAGTCACAGATTTAATGTCAGCCTCATGACCAAATTAAGAAAGTTCAACAAATTTGGATTTCACATTACTGTAGCCAAATGCAAAATGTAAACTAGAAGGACACGAGAGGGCAGACCATTCAAAAATTTGAATTCACAGTAAATGATACAGATCTGCCCCAGAATTTAATGGGTTCTTCCCTGGTCCATGCTACATCCCTCCAACAGGTTTGGTGCAAATTGATTCAGTACTTTTTGTGTGATCCTGTTGACAGACAAACAAACAAATGTGGGTGAAAACAAAACCTCCTTAGGAATTTTTTTTTTGTTGTTGTTGTTGTTTTTGTTTGTTTGTTTGTTTGTTTTTAACCAAAATTCACATAAAAGCACACAAGGACCTGCAAATGGAAAATGCACTCCAACAGTTGGAGGACCCTCACAGTGTGGTATCAATCCATCTGTCACTTCATACTTCTTTTGAGCTTTAATGATATTTTGAGATGGCTGTGCAAAGCTGCAGAGCTATAGGTACACTATCAAGGACACTGAGGTCAGTATCCTCTATCCTCTTTCTTTAATTGCCTCAGGAGCAAAGCTATATGAGAGGTTCAGATTGAAATACCTCAATAATGCAATGGATTGTTTAGACGTTTTGTATAGACAATCATGTTCCCCAGAGGATAAATCCCAATGACTTTGGTGATCCACTGACTGTTCCTCGTTCACTGCTCCTCTTTCATTTTTTAAAAAAAAAAAAGCCTCAGTAACTATTGGATGGATTGTCATTAAATGTGTAACATCTTTTCACACTCCCCTTAGGATGAATTGTAAAAATTTAGATTTCTTAATTTTTCAGTCTAGTGCCATCATAACATTATGCAGATGCAAATTAGCTTGAAGCTACAATCTGGTGCGGCGCATGAAATGGTGACATTTCTGTTGAAAGCTGTACCTGGTCTCTTTTAAATATAAATAAATAAATCAAAATTGAAAAACACCAAAATTTGAATTTAACTTTGACTAATTTATGACCAAATATTTGCAAACTAATGACATTCCCATCAGCCTCAGCTGTACTTTGTGTTTGATGCTAAGTAGCAAATATTAACATGCTAACACTCTAAACTAACTTAGCTTAGCATCAGTATGATGGCATTGTCATTGTGAGCATGTTAGCACAATGATGTTAGCATTTAGCTCTACCTTAGTGCAGTCTTACAGAGACCACTAGACTTTTTAAACTCCATTTATTTCAATTTTATAGGTTTAAATTTACTGAAAGCATAAAAGGAACATTACATGAAAGATAAAATATCAGCAATCAGAATATATATTTTCTAGTTTCTATTTGTTCTATGGTCAAAATTTTCTGAGGGTGATGAAGGTTGGTTGGGTGGGGCAGATGACCTTGATATTATTTAAAATTCTAGCAACAGATCTGTAAAGCTGTTGGGTAAGCAATGTTGGCTGATTTGAATTTATTTAACAATATCACAGGCAAACAAATATTGTGAAAAAAGGTTGGATTGGGCACTTTTATAATTGCAACAACAGTTGCATTTCACAACCTAATTGGCTTTTCAAAATCCAGTTCCAGTTATGATTACAGTAAGAAAAAGAAGTCCTAACTTACAGGTCAATGCTCTTTGGCATCTTTCCAGCTCTCTAGGTGTGAGCTGGCAGTGTACAGGGACACAGTGTGGGCCTGATTACCTCTGCAGTCCTTGGTAGCTTGGTACCGCCTGGGTTAATGACACTGGTGACCAGATAAGGCCCAACCCTCTTGATATCCAGGCGTTACTCCACCAGCTCCCTTTCATTGAGAAAAGCTTATCGGTTTCCCAGGGTTATTCCATCAGTCACCTGGCAGAGTAGATGGTTGTTTTTCACAGAGACTATATTGACAAGTCAAGGTCCACTAAGTAGGGTGGGTTGGCCTTATAAATACAGGGACACTTGAGGTAGCAGCAGCAGTACTCACAAGCTCATCCTATGAGAGGACACTTACATTTGACCACATAGATCTCTACAGCCTACAGAATGGATAACGGGTGTCATTGTACAGCCGACACCGACAGGCTCTCAAACCCTATTCTCTACAACATCCTGAGCCAAATGGATAACAGCAAAGCAGGTCAAAACAACTTTAACTACAATTCAGTACCTCATAGATGCAACTGTGAGCTGCGACGGACAGTGTGCCTGAAAAGGCCAGCTGAGATTTGTAAAGAAGCTTCAGCAGTTCTGGTTAAAACCATCCATTTCATGAAGAACTTACCTGCTTTTAACCAGCTGCCGCCAAATGACCAGCTCTCACTTCTCAAAAGCTGCTGGGCACCACTCTTTATTTTGGGCCTGGTCCAGGAGCATGTGGACTTTGAGGTGATGGACACTCCTGCTGACAGCATGCTGAAAAAGATTCTCCTGAACCGCCAGGAGAGCCCTGAGATGGAAAGAGAGCAGCCCACCATGGCCGGTGTCAGCAAACTCAAGTCCTGCCTAAAAAAGTTTTGGAGTTTGGATTTGAGTCCAAAGGAGTACGCATACCTCAAAGGGACCACAATATTTAATCCAGGTTCGTGTTGTTCTATAATACAAGAAGTTACGTGACAATACTTCCAAAAATTTGGTTCTCAGGAGTAAATTTTCAGTCAGTGCAAAAACTACATTACACGTCTGTAACACACATTTCCTATGTTTACTACCAACAGATGTACCAGATTTAAAGGCAGCTCTGTTCGTCGAAGGCTTGCAACAGGAAGCTCAGCACGCCCTCAGTGAGGTCGTCCAGCTGATTCAACCCGGGCCCCAGGAACGCTTTGCTCGAATCCTCCTCACAGCCTCCACGCTGCAGAGCATCACACCCAGCCTCATCACTGAACTCTTCTTCCGGCCCGTGATAGGTCAGGCTGATCTGCTGGAGCTGCTGGTCGACATGCTCTTCTGCAGATAGAGGATGTGGACTTCATGTGACTGTCCTGGAGAAAGTTGAATTTTTAACTGTGGTGTTGCAGAACTTTTTGTTGACCAACCTCAGCAATGTTCCCTCATGAAATGAAGGAACGCCTGATGAAAAAAAACAAAAACAAAAACAACAACACTATTACTTTTTTATATTTACATTGAAGCTGAGGTCACTTTAGCCCTGGCTGAAAAGATTTTATCTGCTGAAGAGGAAAGATTTGAGTTTCCACATAGACTGACCCCACTGTTCATATACTGTACCTTATGTGGAAGATCTTATCTGTTTGCGTTACTGTAAATAAGTTTTATCTGCATTTACAGAACATTTCAAATAAATATATTTTTGTACATGAATGTGATAGTGAAGTTCTGTCTCAGTCTTTTAACAACACTCAGTGAGCCAAATCTGACACCATATTTGTCTTATGTGCCTGATAATAACACATTTTCACCCCTACAGTTTATATAGCAGGCTTCTTATTACTGATGGGGTGTGCAGCCAAGTATCGCTCAAACCCATTTATTTTAAATTCTTGTCAAGGTGATTATGATGAGGAACAAAACCCCCTTCATGTTTCACTTTCTGACCAAAGACGATGTAGCGTTACAGCATGTAAGCCCTGTTGTTTTCTTGCAGTACTTTGTCTCCCTCTCATGGAAGTTAGTAGAAACCCTTAGCTTATTCCGGCAAACTACAGATGGACAGAGGCTCATTAACACACAAACATTTAACAAAATAAAAGCCCTAGACAAAGTAATTATCACCACAAAGGTCTGGCGGAAGAAATATCTGAATGCTAAATCAAGTGTCCTAAACATGTGAAGTTGCTGTTAATAATCTTCAGGCCGTATGTGATACAGGACAAGCCCTCTTGATTCATCCTAGCCTGTGGTATGTTAGTTGTGAAATAGCAAGCTTTTTCATGACACCTCATACAGGTAAAACAGGAATGTGCTGGTGGGGGCAGAGAGCCAGAGGAAATGGGGTTACACAGGGCAACTCAACAGTCATGAAAAGAAAATCCAAAACCTCAACATTTTGCGCAGAAGAACACAGATCGTTTGCTCATTTGTTGTTTTCTGGGCTCTGTTGAGCAGCGATAGTTTTGTACGATTAAGTAAAAAATCTTTTTAACTATTAATTTAATTTAATAATTTCTTGATGCTCCATCTGACCTTATTCTGCCCTGCTGCCAGATGCTGATGTTTAATGTCTGAAGTTTTAAGGCTGAAAATGAGACATTACTGCACAAAACATACATATTCCCTTAACAGTGATTAGCACTGTGATTTTAACTGCAACTGAAAATATGTAAATGGGCCATATGTATTTGTTAATAAAACAAATGTTGTTGGTGCTGTCTGTCCTTGGTGCTCATTAAATATGTGTACTACATTTTTGGTTGGCAGCTGCAACAATAGGCCTTTCACTTGAAGGTGTACTGAGGTATATCTTAAAACATACATTATTGGTATGTATATAGGTGATATTTAGGTAAGTTCAATTCATTTGATCCCAAGGACTTCAGGACAGGTTCCTGAAATCAGGCTGATTTTCTGCACTGCTTCTTCCCTTTGACAAAGACAAACCCCAGGATTTTATTTCCTTTTTGTCAGAACCAGCCAAACAAGTTTCTTCTTTTGCTGAGGGCGGAAAAAGCCTGTCTGGTACAACACAGTGACCTTAGGGAGATGAGCTTGACAACAATAATCCAGTAGATAAAGAGGAAAAGTAGGCTAAAGAAACAGCAGCAGAAAACCCTGTGAAGCAAAGACTTGTTGATGTATGAGGGCATAATTTGTTGCTGAACAAACAGATGTGCATTCATTGAAATTAGACAAATGTTTTCATGGCTTGTGTAGAGAGAGGGAACAAAAGTTGACACAAAGCTCTGCCAGCATGGAGCAGTATGTCATATTATCTCTAAACTAAACTAAGAACTAGAAGACAAACTTAATTTCTATGCATATACATGAAACACATATACATGAAAGGGCATAAACAACCATGGAGATTTTTATTTTGTTAAAAACAGGACTTATCTGTGAGTAAAAAAAAAAAACTGTGACCAAATGCCACAAATGGTTTAACAACCCAGAAAGTAACATTGACTTGAAAATATGTACATCAAAATATGGCTTAACAATACAGTTTTCAGATGAAAACATGCCTCTAAGGAATTTAAATGGCAGGAGTCAATAAACCCATACATACTGTACACACACAATGACTTGCATAAACAATCACACACACAAGAATGAGGACGGTTATGTTTAACATCAGTCTCTATCCTATGGCCTGACTGCTACAACCGAAAGGAGTGTAACCACGTTTCTTTTTCTGAAAAAACGTTAAAACACTGCATACTAATACATCAACACTTGCTCTGTCTTTCCCTGTGTGTAAAAAAGAAAACTCATTCTTTCCTCAATGTTCATTTGCTGGAAAGATAAAATGTACTTGAATTTAAATGACACTCCAACAGCAAACATTAGCCGGACCACGAAAAGGAGAAGTACAACCACCCCAAAAGGTGCTCCACTGAGTAACAGCATAAATGATAGGAGAACGATAAAATTGTCCATCTATTTGGCTACATCCCTTGTCAATACAGGTACTTTTGCTTCGGTGTTGCCCTTCAGAGAAGCAGAGGGGCGCCTGAAGAGTCTCTTTCCGTGTCATGATGGTAGGGTGAGTAGGCTGTGGTGGTGCCGGAGGAGTACGCTGCCAGAGGAAAAAAATATTTAATGCATTGAAAACAAACAAAAAAAAAACAAACAAAACATAGCAGTAATAGAAATAGCCAATACAGTATGTGTTATATTTCATGCACACACGGTGAGATGTGAAATGTTGAGTTTAATCCAGGACATGACACATATCCAGGCCGCAATGTGAAAGTTGTGGAAACACAACGTGGTGTACCCTCATTCAAAGACATGTAACAGGACACCCCCTCCTTCTAACCGCCTCTTTGCAGAACAACAACAAAAAAAGAGAGGCTGCTGTGCAGTAATCCATCTGTAACCCAAGTTACTTGCTAAAATTACATAATAAACCAGGGAACATCACGTGGCGTACATTTAATGTGACTTGATCTGCTGTTTTAGCAGGTGGTGTAGCATGACCACTGAGCTGGAAGGGAGAATGAGGCAGGTTGATAGATGGGTGTAAGGTGGCAGATGAGGGGAGGAGGCAGCTAATGAGCGAGGGATTGTAATATGCAGAGAAAAGGGCAGGAATGTAGAGTTTTCACTGCTTAAAGAGTGGTATGTATACAGGAGGTGAGAAAATGCCTGCAGCTGCAGCAGGTACAATGGATTGCAAAGACTCAGTCCCACATACTGATTCACACACTGGGGGGGTAATTATACCTCAATGACCAGGAGAAATAAAGACTGTAGCTCTATTAGCACAATGCATACAATTAAGATTATGACATGCAATATGTCTAACCACTAATCACACGCTGGTGCTAAATGATTCTGGATTTAATTCAACTCTTACTTCCTCATACAAACTTTTTCTTCGACACAAAAGAAGATACAAAAGGATCAGTGTGCCCGACGTGGAAAATTCCCACATGTACTCACTTTTCCCGCTGTAATGTCTCATTTTCCTCGCTAGCTCATCTGACGGCGTCTGCTCTGACACTTTCACCTCAGGAACTGCAGCAGGGGATGAGAAGAAAAGACTAAATGAACACACGCAGATGAGGAGCTTCGACGCACATTGACACCCTGTCATTTTACAATTAATCCTTGTCATCCCGTTTATTGTGCAATGTGTTTTAGAAGACACAGTGTACCTGTACCAGCTTGTCTCAGATCAATTAATTGTTATTAGGTCATTGTCTGTACAATACCTGGCATTTCAGGGTTTAAAACTAGGTACCGAACAAAAGAGCTCCAGCAGTGCTCCAACGGACACTAGTCGAGTCATTAAAGGAAGACAGGTTAGATGATTGGTTTATTTGGTATGTTGCAGCCAGGCAGAGGTGAAAAGGGTTGTCTTGTGGTATCTTATAAACATTTATATAGCAGTAATCATTACTGTTATCTGGTTTAAATAATACTGCATGACATTCTTACAGTCACTGCTCACGAAGGTGTTAGTCATGGTCTCGTTGCCACTGTCAGGGAGAGTCCCGTCGCTCCTCCCATTAGGACGCTGTCCTGTGGACTGGTGGCCCTGGCTCTTCTTGCCCTTTCGCGTGCTGATGCGGATGACTCCGTGCACCAGCTTGCACTCGGCCTCCTGCTCCTGCAGGTTGTAATCCTGAGCGATGCTGTAGATGAGCTCGCTGATCTCGTTGGTCTTGCGGGAGAAAGATGAGTCAGAGGTGCACTTGGCCAGCTGGTCAATCTGGTGGAGGGCATAAAGCTCCAGCAGCTTCTTGGTGATGAGAGAGTCAATGTCTGTGCCAGTGTCACTCAGGTCATCTAATTCATAGTCCTCTCGGGATAACAGGCTAGTGTTGCTGACTGGCCGGTGACTTTCCCCTTTGCCCGGTGCACGGGTCCGTTTGGGGGCAGCAACCGGATACCTTACTGTCTGGCCTGCAATGCGCACATCCGGGTAGCGAAAGCTGTCACTTGTGGGCAACTTAGAGGCTTTGGTGGCCTTGCTGGACTCCAAAGGGATGCCACAGGTTGGGTTGGTCACAGCCAGGCCATTCGGAGGGTGAGGATCACTACCTGCTTTAGGGGGATGGTCTGTGGAGCTCTCGTTAACAGGCAGACAGGGCTCTCGGCTGCCATAAAATCCACAGGTCAGTACACAGCAGATAAGAGCCTTACAGCTGCTCCAGCCCATAGAGGCACAGGAGCCACAGGCATGTCTGCTGGTAGGCGTGTTGTCTGCTGACCCAGGAATAAATCCTATAGTCTCTGAGCCCCGTGCTGTGCCGTTTCGTGGGTGGCCTCTGCTGCGGCTGTACTTGTTCTCTGAATACCGGGAGTGGTCAGTGCGGTGTTCATGTAGATGCTCCCCATGAGGATCCTTGTAAGACTCTTGGCTGGCCGTGCTCTCCCTGGATATAGTCCGAGTTTGTCTGTACTTTTCTGACCTGTGGCCGGAGGTGTGGTGCTTGTAGTGGTGGCGGGACGCCTGGGGAGCCCCTGAGCTGTGGCCAGGCATGGCTCAAACTGCCTGGGACCTGGTGTGGGAGAGGCATGTTTAGAAATAATAACCAGATGTAAACCTCCCCTTTTGTTGCCACACAGGCTTACAGCATTTGACGCACCATGGCACAGTAAAATAGGCTGTATTTAAGATTTCTATAGTAAACACTCAACCTCTAGTGAAGTAACTTACCGGGAAGTTCTCAGAATGTAAATAAAGTGAGTAGATTGATCACTGGCCTGATAATAATTTGGCCCATTTCGTCGCGCTTAAAGCTTGTTTGGACTACTACTGGCAGGAAAACTGTTCAGGCAAAATCTCATTCAACATTCAAACGTTTTCAGTTTTACTTACAAAACATTCACTCACCGCATAAGAAGAAACAGTTGTGGGTGTCTTTTATCCCAGGTAACTTGTTCTGCCAGCAAACCGCGGAAGTCTCAGACAGAAAACTTTGTTCTGCTAGCGCCTCAAACAGAGAAAAAAAGACGTGTTTTTACCGCCCACAGGTTTCCAGGTGAGTTCACCTCCACCTAACAACAAAGTTTGCGAACCGAAGGTGAGGCGCCTCGACCGAACAACACAACTCGGCTCAATGTCGTCTTTCTTTTGGTAAAACTCACAGTCTTGTTGCCGAGCGGCTCCCAATGTTTGGCTATTACCTGCGGCTACAGCTAATCCCAGGTCCTACACCCACCCACAGGTGATTTGTGACGTCACGCGAGGCGGAGAGAAAAGGGGAAAAGATAATAAAAGTCAACAAAATCAGACTGAAACATGAATCAGGGAATTTTAAAAAATTGTTGTAAAACTGATTAAAAAGCGAAAAATAAAACCTTTGAGCTGTCCATACCCAGACTGTGACGTGCAACACGACAACTGGTGGTGAAATTTTGCACTTTACATTGTGACAAGCGGACTTTTTAATAATAGCATGCTGTGAACACACACATAAGGTAGGCGCACAGCTGCAGAGCCAGCAGGCGTGTTTCCAAATATCTTTCATTCTCCCCTGTTTCCCCTCTGTGGAAACACTTCATCACGCACTGAGGATTGAAATAGAAGAGCCTCATCACCTGGAGAAAAGTCTGTGTAGCGTGGTGTCTTTAGGTTGGTCGCAATAAAACAGATGAACAAGAAATTAATTTCATTAAAATGTCACTTTATTTATCCTCAATGTAAATACAGGTTTCACATCATACAGTGGCTTTAATATCTACTCCTTAGACTATTGTAATACTGATTACGTTATAAATACTACTCAGCAACACATAGCTGTCTAAATTCAGGGATTTACTTTTTTTTTAGACCTATTCTAAAATTTACTGGGTGCCTATGGAGTACAGTTTCTTAGGTCAACATTTCCATGCCAATGATCTACCATCTATTTCCTTTATTTATCAGGCAGTCTTCTGATAATACCAAAAAACAAAGAAAAACGTTAGTTAGGAATAACTGAGATGTTTGTGTAAATTCAATCTATCTTATGTGATATTTTCTTAGAAAATGTATGACAAACAAACAATATTAATGTCAAATTACATATACAATGCTACAGTGCCTCAAAAACACAAAGGCACTTTTAGGGTGAGATTTATCAGTTATAACTGCAGTATGTACAAAAACATAAAATTAGTTTATAAATGGACTGGCCTAAACTATCCATATCTACACCAAGCTCATATTTTGTTTAATGATTTTAGTTTCAGTAAGAGATCATAAGTTCATAGGTGGGAAGGTTGTCACCTGTTTGATCTGTGTGTCTGAGGGAACCTGAACAATGCAGGTATCATTTGGCAGCTGCTGTGACAGAGCTAATCTTAAATGCGCTTGTGCCCGGCTGCCACCCTTATTTGCTGTAATGTGCCCCAGCCGGGGGTCCGAGTCGATCTCATATCGGTAGTGATATCCCTCCATAACGTCTCTACATGCATCCCTCATTTCAATGATCCAATTCTTCATGCCTTTGCGATTCAGGTAGAGCACAAAAAGAAAGACCATCCCCACAAACCCCAGCACCAGCCCTAGGAAAACATAAGATGTCTGGAGGGTGAGGTCAGCCACCCCTGCTTGGACTGGAACAACACACCCAATAGCCTGGACACTGAGTCTTTGCAGACGGGCTTCGGTTAACGCTCCAGGTGAAGCACATCTCACAGCATCCACATCTAGCAGAGCTCTTGATTCATTCAGCCAAGTGACAAAATTACGGATTTCACAAGAGCAAGTATAAGGGTTGTTACCAAGGTGGATGTGGATATTCCCGAGCTTCTCCAGCTCTTGTAGAGCCTCGGCCCTGAATATTCTGAAGGCATTCTGTGTCAGGTCCAGCACTTCCAGATGGTTCATACCAGAGAACGTCCCACTGTAGACAGCTACCAGAGAGTTGTTGGTGAGGAAGAGCTGCTGCAGATTGGGAAGGTGGGAGAACATGCCTGGGGGAAGCAGGGCGAGGTGGTTCCCAGAGAGGTCGAGGCGGAGGAGACCCCCAAGGCCCCCCCAGCGTAGAGCCGTGGTGAGGTCTGTCAGGGCGGTGAAGTTGTACAGCGAACGGCTCAGGTTGAGCTCCTGAAGGGGACTGCCGGGTATACTGAGAGCCTCCGGATGGATGAGGGCCAGCTGGTTCCCACTGAGGTCCAGGAAGCGCAGGTTGATGAGGACAGAGAAGCTGTGAGATGCCATCTCTGTAATTCTGTGAAGACGACTAACACTGTAACATCTGTCCTTAGACATGCTTGGATACAAGTCATGCATGTCAAAGTAAATTAATAAAAACCACATTCACGGAAAAAAGACATTGTTTATTAATAGATTAACATCAACAAAGTTAGTCATTATCATCCAAATATGGCTTAACATACATGATTGAAACAAAAAGACTAACACTGACATTCTCACCTATTATTGCTTAAAATTATGTTGGTGACATTCTCCATCTCTGTAAACGAATCAGGTGCAATCTGGTGTATATTATTCCCTGTGATGATGACAGTCCTTGCATATCCTGGAACACTTTGTGGCACCGTGAGCAGATCCTTAGAGACACATTTCACTGTGCGAGTGACAGCAAAACACTCGCAGCCAAAAGGACACTCCAAGCACTGGTATGGTGCACAAAGAAGGATTCCCAAAAACACACGGACTGCAAAAATACACATATCTGAATTATAGCCAAAGAAAAGGAAAGATTAAAAAACTGTTAACGCACAAGAGTAGGAATTACAGCAGAAAAAAAACTTGATTCCATGTTAATATATAATTAATAAATCAAATTATACATTTTATCCTAAGCTTTTGTTCTGACAAAAAAACAAAGACTGCTCCCTCCAGCATCAGTCTCTCCTCATCTGCTCCACTCTGGGAATAAAGGTTCCCGTAAATTGATGATAGTTCATATCACACAGAATCTGCTGGATGAAAAAGGTGCGTGGTTCCCTTAAAGGTACAGAGGACAATTAGAGCATCCACAGCCTGTGACCTACACCACAGTGTGACAGAGGAAACGGGGAAAAGGCTACAGCACATCCAAAGTAAAGTTACAAAAACAGAAATATTTAACTGATAGAGATATACAATAATAAATAATACTCTTCCAGGTAATAAGCATTAAAAACAAATCAATAAAATAAATGACACATAATAATTTAATGGAGTATTGCTCATAGTTTGTATAAATTGGCGGAGTTATAATAACATTCAAGAATGAAGATGCATTATTTGAAAGCATTCAGTTTCTGTTTGGAGAATTACACTCATGTTAAATAAAAAAAAAAACCCTTCACACATCTGTCTTTATATGCCAGGGGAAAGTGGAATGAAGGCAGGAGGACATTTTTACAGAACAATATCACTATTTTTCACAAGTGGGTCCTGCATCATTTTATCTTTGGTAGCGGCTCATGTCTCTTAGACAAATAACTGATGAATGCATTTCAGTGTTAAGATTTCGTGGTCCATTTGGTAGCCATTCATCACTGAATGTACATTAGCCAGACTGGAAACACATTCATCATTGCCATCCATGAAAAATACATCACTGGAACTCACCAGCATTTCTCTACTGTAGTGTAATGTTCCTTCATAATCCTCTTAATAAACTAAACAAGAACACTGAACCTGCTATGTGAAAAATAGTAATGTTGAATTTTGAAGAGATTATTGTAGATACTGTAGCTTATACATTATTCTAATTAATAAATACATAAATAAAAAAAAAGGAAAATATTTTTTTGGTTTAAAAACTACCCAAAAACAGCTAGCCTTTGCCCTTAGTTACCATCCTAGAGACTACATCACTACAGATCACTACAGATGATGAAGTCCTTCATTTAGTATTTTTTTGTTCAAACATATGTCCCGTCAAAGCACATCATTCACGTCAATGAATATAATGTATAACCAAAGTCTATGAGTCATCCCATTGTACTGCTCGCTCCATTACTGTAGGTTGAATGTTAGGATGAAGGTGGCGAGAACTCCAGACAACATGAGGAATGGTAGCCAGGTCTTGAGGAACGCGGCCCAGCTGAAGGATAAAAAGAGGGTAACGCGTATTAGAGTAATCACCAACACCTGGATATTATGAGTGTATGTACGTGGGCATATACACACAAACACCCACTCCTGTGTATTTTGGACAGAAAATGGCACACGAAGTGTGTTGAAGTATCACATGGTTCAGTCTCTTTACTCCCAGAGTCCCACAGCTCCCCTCTCTCCCCATCGCTACACCCCAGCCTGCGTCCTACTGTCCTTTCCACCCAGCCGGCGCAGGGAGCCCCAGCAGTGAGGTGACCTCCAGTGGTGACACAGAGGGGAGCGCTGCTGTCAGTGATGAATTACATGACTCCGCTTCTGTTTAAAAGACTCCTGTGTCGTGGGAGTGTATTTGCAGAGGCAGCACAAACTGTGACGCCAGTGCTCTCAATGTGGGTCAGCGGAGAATAATGAGGGGGGCTCTCTGAGCCATATGTCTCTTACTGCTCACGAGCATCCAGCAAGAAGAGCAACCAAACAGAGTGCTTACATGACTCTGGTTAAGATGCTTCAGGTTAGCAACAACATTTTTCCACTGCCAACTTGCAATTCTACTGTAGTCTTCTCTGTTTTTACAGCACCTATTGCATGTCTGTCTGTTCTAGAAAAGGAATTCCTCCTGTGTTGCACTTCCTTTCTTCTCCCTTTTTCCTGTTAATTGCTTTTTATATGTAATTTCCTTCTAAATAAAACCAAGAGAATATGGATAGAGGATGTCATATGCTGCACAGACTGTCAATCTGCACAAACAAAACCAGAACTTAAAATCCAAATGGTATAGGCAAGTTTCCTGTTTACAATTAAGAATGTACTACAGATACACACTTATGAGGCAGCTATAGGTCAGGCGGTAGAGTGGGTAGACCATTAAACATATGGTATGCTGACATGTCTTTGACCAAGACACTCAAACTACAAAATTGCTCCTGATGCAGGTATGAGGGAAAAAAATGGAAGTCATTTTGGACAAACACATCTGTCAATGTATGAATGTAATGTACATGCTGTATCTGTAAATACTAGCAAATTAGTCACTGTTTTATTTTGGTAAAATAATCGCATATTAAAGTGTAACCGCCCAGTACAGTAGAGGATAATTACCCAAATGTTATGTTTGAGCTTTTCAGAAAAACCATAAGGACCCGCTATGGCTCCATGGAACAGATGCCCACTTGGATGCAGTGTAGGGCTTTAGCTTTATATTCACATTGTTCTGCCAACAAATGGCAGAATGAGGCTGAAACACTTACCTCACATGCTTTCCATTAATGAGTGACAGCACACACAGGTTCACCATGTTCCAAGACGTGCTGTTGTCATAACGCATAAGGTTGAGTGCCATGGCAACGTGGGAATGGCAGTTATCAAAGCATAGATTGTGCTTCAATGAAACAGAAAGAGTAGACATCATTATTTGAATATTAATATGGAAATATCTGCATTCACAATCCTAAATATTGTCTTACCGGCCTACATTTGTATTCCTCTGACGCATCTTGCACTGCTTTGTCCCAAGTAGCAGGCCCGTTACCACAGACTTTGTCCACATCAAGTTTCCAATACCTGCGATATAAGTTAACCACCAATCAACGTGTTCATTTAAACATATGACTTGGTGTGACCTACTTGTTGAAACACTATTCAAATAGAATATTTAGATTAATAAACTTACTTTGTTGGTCTACCGAAGCCCATGTTGTCCTCCTGTAGAAAACAGGCTCATTTTAAAAAATGTAATGAAGCATGAAAGTGACCATATGCTTGAGTTGTTGTGGGATTTATATATGAGATATATATCATTAGTGTATTTAAAACACAAAATGCACTGGATAACACAATTCATGAGTAAATATAACTAGAGGAACCTGAAGGCCACTACTCCCATTCATAATCAGTTCAACAGCTTCAGTCTGCACGTCAGTATGACATCTCAGATTATAGGTTTGCATTTTAAGTAATGGCTCACTTCACTTTCCAGAGCTACTAGAGAGGCCAGACTGCTCATTGCATCTGATATGTACGTGATTAACTGTGAACAAGATACTCACCGAGACAAAGTAGGATCCTGCAAAATCTCGTATCACTCCAGAAGATGTGCATATACCCATGTGACCAATGAAGGGGAGCACCCACCTGCAGGATGCACCCAGCAGAACACAATACATCGATATTACTGTGTATTGTACATATTATGCATATGTTAATTCATTATTATGTCAGAGAACACATACTATTCAGCAGTTCATTAAAAGGAAATTAATAGCATACGATTTAACCAGTGGCTAACATTTCATTCATTTCAACGTTTCATTTCATCTGACGTTTGCTTAATAACAACCTGTCGCCGAGCGGCAAGCTGTAACACTTAACGCTAAGCTAGCAAGACCTGGAAAACAGGAAGTGTTAGCTTCTTACGATAAAATAGGAATGGGTGTCCAGACAACGCAGTAGGGGTAGCGGCTGTTTTTTCTGTCGCTTTTTAAAAAATCACCGTGGTAGTTCATCATCATGTCGGTATCGTCCGCCTCCGCCATCACTGCCTGGAATAACAGGAGATGACAACAATGACGCACAGACGGCGCCAGGCGGCGTGGAAGCGGAAGCGCGCAGCCGTTGCCTCCTCCGCGGGTGAACCAAGGGTCGGTCAAGGAACGCAACACCGTTCATTAGTGCGTGCACCGCGGCGTTTGCGTACCATAATTTAATGGGATTTATTTAGGACTGCAGGGTCTAACCGTCTACCAAAACAACAATAATCGTTAATTTTGGTCATTTGTATTTATATTTGAGCCATTCGATTTATTTATTGTATGATTATTCATGAAGTGACAGCCATGTCGAAGCTCCAAGGACAGATCATTTAGCCTATTACTGAGGTACGGATGTAGTTTGTCTCATTTTCCAGTAAAAGTGGCTACTATAATGTTTATTGTGCTTCTGCGTTACTAAAATCAACACACCAAAACCATTATTTTGACAGACATTTATCAAACACACAAAAGCTAGTTTTTCAGGTTTGAGGACTTCTATTATATCTCCTGTTTGGCAGCCACTAACAGGCTCAGTAAACCCTGAGCTTCATCAGTGTAACCTCCACTACTCCTAAAGCTGGGTCACCTCATTACTGAACAGTGTATGGTTCAACCAGACGCTCCCCTAACTACTCACGCTTGTGATGTACTGTGCTCACATTTGTTGCCTAATAGTCAGCAAAAGCAGAGGAGAGCAGACACTGATGAATGAACAGGATACCAGAAAGTTCATAGCCTCGCCTGCAGTACATCTTCCCAACCTAGTTAGCATTGCATCATTACTGCTGCAGCTGTTGTGTAATTGTTACACTAAAAGGACAAAGAGTTCATTATTTTACCACTGATGGAACAAAAAGTACAAGAATACAGACAATATGGTGTTCAATAATTTTATTTTTTACTTTGTTTGCAACAAAGGTTATTATAGGATTCCTCAAAGAAAAAACAGAGTATCTCAAATTAATGAACAAAGTAAAACATATGAAAGCCTAGTGTTGCATGTTGTTGAGGACCCCCTTAAAATTCGCCCTATTCGTGGGCGAAGACCCAACGAGCTGTTCTTTGAGTAACGGATGGGATGGCTCTATGTCCTTTTTGTTGCCCACAACTATGGTCAGAGAAGCCTCATGCAAGCAGGATTGAACACCTGACTGCAGCAGAGGCCTAGCGGTAGAGCCACGCAGCTAGTAGGCAGGAACCCCTATCGCCACCAAATACGTAGCACCTAGTTGGCATATACCATAAAATTAGCATCTGTGTCCCACTTATACCCAACAGAAGTTTCACACTGACATTTCATGCCAAATGACATTTACAATCAATGAGACTTAAATTAAAACAAAAACTATTAGAAAGTTATTTTCTTTTACAAATATTTCTTTGTCAATATCTTGTTGATCTTGTCAACAATCTATTGTGGTAAAACCTCTCAACTAAAAGGAGTACAGTATGCCAAAATTATGGTTCAATGAAACAGAGAAAGCAAACATTAATCCT